AGACACACACACACACAGAGACACACACACACACACACACACACACACACACACAGACACACACACACACACACACACACACACACACACACACACACACACACACCCACACACACACACACACACACACACACACACACACACACACACACACACACACACACACACACACACACACACACACACACACACACACACACACACACACACACACACGCGCGCGCACGCACACACACACACACACACACACACTCGCACGCACACACACACACGCACGCACACACGTACGCGATGGGGCTACAAGGGTTTATTCAACACAACTACCGAGCTCATTTAGAGCCAGACTGTTTATTTAGTAATAATGTTTTTAAACTGAAAGAATAAAAATTGCAATTGAAAGTCTGATTTTAATCTACAACTTAAAAAACAAACAAAAATATGCTCAAAGACCAAAAATGTAGCAAACAAGTTTTATTTTTATTTATTTATTTTTTTTAGCTTGAATTAAATAAACTGTGCTTGATGCCACAGGTTGCTCATCTGGTACACCCACTTTTAAGGTCCAAAATGAGATACATCAAAATGAGTCCCAATAGTAGAAAATGCCTACATCAGATCACATGACAAACTTAAGGTCCGAGGGCCAAATATGGCCCATGTTGACATGTTGTCTGGCCCCACAGAGGATATATTAAAAGTAAAATATTTTTTATTACTTCTCATTGTACTTAAAAATTTAGCATAATTTGTTTAGTGCAAATCAGGCAGCACGGTGGCGCAACTGGTAGAGCTGCTGCGAGCAGGTCCTTGGTTCAAACCCCGGTCCAGGGGCCTTTCTGGGTGGAGTTTGCATGTTCTCTCCGTGCATGCGTGGGTTTTCTCCGGGTACTCCGGTTTCCTCCCACAGACCAAAAACATGCATGTTAGGCTGATTGGTAACTCTAAATTGTCCCTAGGTGTGAGTGAGAGAGTGAATGGTTGTTTGTCTTGTTTGTCTCTATGTGTCCCTGTGATGGACTTGCGACCCGTCCAGGGTGTACCCCGCCCCTCGCACAGTGATTGCTGGACATGGGCACCAGCGACCCCCGTGACCCAAAATGGAATAAGCGGGTAAAGATAATGGATGGATGGATGTTTAGTGCAAACTTCTCGTGGCAGTTGGTCAACTTGGAAGACAAGAAAATTTTGTTTGAAATTTTCAGTTATCTCTGATTTTGATGCGCAAAAGCAACAGAGAACATCAAATATGACTGCAGATAAAACTCTGAGGAACCTGTGACAAAAAAGATGTCAGGTATCAGTTAATGTATCTGCTGAAATTGGCCCTTTGTTTGGAATAATGTTTTAATTTTCGTCCCCTTTAGTAACACACACACTGTTTGAGGACCATGGCCTCCAAATCTGAGGCCATGGTCCTCAACCAGAAAAGGGTGGATTGCTGTCTCCAGATTGAGGGTGAGGTTCTGCCTCAAGTGGAGGAGTTCAAGTATCTCAGGTTTTTGTTCACGAGTGAGGGAAGAATGGACTCTGAGACTGACAGACAGATTGGTGCAGCATTGCGGACTCTGTACTGGTCCGCTGTGGTGAAGAGGGAGCTGAGCTGTAAGGCAAAGCTCTCGGTTTACTGGTCGGTCTACGTTCCTACCCTCACCTATGGTCACAAACTCTGGGTAGTGACCGAACGAATGAGATCGTGGATACAGGCGGTTGAAATAAGTTTCCTCCGCTGGATAGCTGGACTCTCCCTTAAAGATGGGGTGAGAAGTTTGGTTATCCAGGAGAGACTCAGAGTAGAACCGCTGCTCCTCCACATTGAGAGGAGCCAGTTGAGCTGGTTTGGGCATCTGATAAGGATGCCCCCTGGATGCCTCCCTAGGGAGGTGCTTTGGGCATGTCCGACTGGGAGGAGACCCCGAGGAAGACCCAGGACATGCTGGAGAGACTATGTCTCTCGGTTGGCCTAGGAACACCTTGGAATCCCCCCAGAAGAGCTGGAAGAGGTGGCTATGGAAAGAGATGTCTGGGCCTCCCTGCTCAAGCTGCTGCCCCCACGACCCAACTTCAGAACAAGCGGAAGATAATGAATGGATGGATAGTAGCACACACTTATTTGACAACTGGACATGGAACGACATAGGCATTCATTTAAAGATGTAAACAGTAAACAGACTCAGAGGGCAGATCTCTACAGGATTATTTTTCCTTCATTCATTCAACCTCAGGTTAGTCTCACTGAGCCTCGAGGACTCATTTACAAGAGACCTGATGACCTGAGAACTGAGATTTAGAGTAAAAGTTAGAAAGAAGCTGCAACTGACTATCCTAAGGATAAGGTACTGACGGATCAAGAAAAGAAAACATTTTAAGTTCAAACGTACATTCAAACACTGTTATACTAGTACTGTGCACAGGCCTGAACAGGAATTATGGGTTGGGCCAACTGATCTATGTTGGCCATCCTATAAGTATTAAACCTAATAAGACCAGGTTCTTATTAGATTCTGATTACTTTTAGTCACTTGGGATAAAACTTACATGATGTTGGTGGCAGTCTGACTGGCACCGCTTATCTGTGGTCAGGTCATGGAGGCACCTGGTGCAGAAGAGAAACCCAGACATCCCTCTCCCAGTGACACTCTATACCTCTTCCTGGGGGATCCCAAGGCATCCCCAGGCCAGAGAAGCTATATAATTCCTCCACTGAATTCTTACTCCAGAGTCTCTTTCCGGTGGAACATGCCTGGAACACTTCTGAAAAGAGACGTCTAGGAGGCATCCTAATCAAATGCTCAAACCATCATATCTGAGTCCTTTTGATGCAGAGGAGCAATGTCTCTAATCTGAGCTCTCCCAGGATGACGGAGCTCTTCACCCTATCTTTAAGTCTGAGCTCGGCCACTCTACAAAGGGAGCTCATTTGATCTGCTTGTATTATACAGTATATGGGTCATGATCCATGTCTCATGAACATAGGAGAGGGCTGGATCTTTAAAAACCAGTAACTCAAGACCTTTGCCTTTTGGCTCAACTCTTTCTTCACCAATACCAGCCAAAGCAACACCCACCTTACTGAAAATGAGGCCTTGATATGTTGATCCATCTCCCACTCCATTCTACCATCACTCATGAACTAGATGCTCAAATTCTTGAACTTCTTCACCTGAGGCAAAAGCTCCTCCTTGATCTGGAAGAGGAATTTCATCCATTTCTGTTTGAAAACTATACCTCAAACTTAGAACAACTGACTCTCATCTCAGCCGCTTCACACTAGTCTTCAAACCACACATGCTGGAGGTGTTTAACTCTTTCTTCACCGAAGAAGCCAACTGAACCATATCTGCATAAGGCAATGATGAGACTATGAGATTCCAATACCAAACACTCCCCTTTCCATGACTGCACCTTGATAATCCATGAACACTACAAACATGAGACAAGGGACAGCCCTGATGGAGTCCAACCTGTACAGAAAATGAGCTCAAATTTGTGCCAAGAATGCAAATACAACTCCTACATTGGTTCTACAGGGACCAGATAGAACAACATTATAGACAACCCTGTGCACCCTCTTCATCAGACTGTCATACAACAACAGAGTGTCTTCAGTCAGAGCCTTCTTCAGATCCGTTGTAGGAAAGACCGCTCCAAGAGATCCTTCCTGCCCACAGCCATCAGCATCTACAACTCTTTAATGAAACCAGGATGATCAGTTACAACAACATTTACAAATTTCCTTTGGGATTAATAAAATATTTTTGAATTTAATTGAATTTGAATAGCCCTTAAAACCAGTCTTGGCTAGAACATACTCCCGCAGCAGCTGCCACAGAATGTCTTGATGAACACAGTCATAAGCCTCCTCTAGGTCCACAAAACACATGCAGACTGGAGAGTTAAACTGCCAGGACTCCTTTAGTATCCCTGCAAGGGTTAAGATCTGGTCCAATGTTACTTGACTAACATAAAAGCCACACTACTCCTCCTTAATCAGAGGATTGAATATTGGTTGGAGCCTCTATTCCAAAGCCCTGGAGTAAACTTTCCCAAAGAGGCTGAACAATGTGATCCCTTAATAATATGAACACATTCTTTGGTCCCCCATTT